TTTACATTTTCAGCTATTTGTTCTTCAAATTTGACTTTCACCTCTCTGATTTCTCTCCTGTGTGTACCCAGAAGCCCCAGGGACTTGACTTTTCCTCTGCGTTTCCTAAACAAGAGCAGCATCCTTGCTCAGATCTCAAACTGCTTGGACAGACTTTCCATTCATCCGCTGGTCAGGAAGCTAATGGTAGGGGCAACACTTGGAAGAAGGCCTTTCAAGCGAATACATACCCAAAAGTTTTACATTCTTAGGCTAGTGGTGGCATTATTTTTCCCTTTTAAAAGTCCTTTTTAAGATTGCTTTTCCATTGCCTCCTCACTTTCCCACATTCCCCCTTAGTTTGGAGCCCATCAGCTCACTAGAGTACAGGAACTGCAGCACTTCTGAAAATGTAAAATTACCCTAATTAGACTTGATATTTTTCTTTCTTGTTTTTCTTAAGCACTGTTGTTTACAAAGCCTTGTAAATTCATCTGACAGCCAGTTCCTGTCTATTAGAGCTCCAGTTCTCACCATCCACACTTATCTGGCGTACAGCTGCTTACTATTACCTGTCTAGCTGTCCTTCTGTCACTTTTTGCTGGAAGGTCCGTTGCCTGATAGATGTCAAATTGAAATAACTAAAGACTGTAGCTAAGAGACAGAAGTGAGCTGTCATTAGGGCTTCCAGCCCTTTTATATACCAAATACACAACCTTTTAAAAGATTTTGGAGAAATCTTTTGGAGAAAGCTGGAGATGGACTTTTGACAAGGGCCTGTAGTGACAGGACAAGGGGCAATGGCTTTAAATTGGAAGAGGGAAGATTTAGATGAGATGTTAGGAAGAAATTCTTCACGGTGAGGGTGGTGAGGCAGTGGCGCAGGTTTCCCAGAGAAGCTGTGGATGCTTCATCCTTGGAAGTGTTCAAGGCCAGGTTGGATGGGGCTTTGAGCCACCTGGTCAGGTGGAAAGTGTCCCTGCCCATGGCAGGGGGGTTGGAACTGGGTGGTCTTTAAGGTCCCTTCCAACCCAAACTGTTCTATGATTAAATTTGTTCAAAGAAAAGAAAGGAGAACAGAGCTGGAAGATTCTCTCTGTCTTTCATCCTCTTGCACAATGACTAAAACATCTGCACCATTTCTTCCAGTCTGCCCGGTGAGGACAGTGATACTTCCCTTCAGCCCAGAGCAGAGGAAAAGTGCAGCTCCTCCTCCACACATGTGGGTGAAGAACCCAGAGAGGAGCTGGGACAGGGCATGGATCTAAAGAGTAGATGGTGGGGACAGAACTGACACCAAGCTGGATGCAGAAGGGATTTCTGGACATGGTGTTAAGCAAGGAAGCTGGAACGATGCAATTAGATATTTTAAATGTCATGTCGGGCATATAACCTGAGTTAAGCATGAAGAGTGATGAGAGTGAAGAGTTTATCTGGATAATACCCTTCTGGGTACATGTGTGATACATGCTGCAGTTTTAAAATCAAATCACCTCTTTGACTAATCATATTAGTTGCAGCTACAATGTGTTTGAAGAGTTTTGACACCGAGACATTATAGTATATTATCTAATCATCTGCTGGGCTAAGTAATAAATCCTCCCTTTCCTTGTCTGATGCTGCTCGTTTTTTAAAGTATGTTCTTGTCAAAATGAACTTCTTGAGCAGACCAAACAGCCAGCCCAGTTAGGTAGGTATGAAGTTCCCTTGCGAGTATTAGCACTGCTAGAGGTTTATATATTCTCCTTGCAGCAGCACTTCCTCGCCCCCTTGCCTATCATCTTGAACCATCAAATGGAGCATGGCCCCATATGTGATACAGCCACATACATCCCTGTGATCATAGAGCTACGGAGCAGCCCTGCACTGGGTGGATTTGGGTCGTGCATAGTTGGCAGATACGAGACTCTGCACTGGACAGTGTAGAGGCAGCAAAATACCGATTTTAGCTGTATGAATGCTGGCCATGTTGTCTAACAAAGGAGATTCTGGAAAACATGCTATGCACTTCTGTGATTAAGTGCAGCACTCTTAATACGTACACACAAAGAGATGAAATAAGGTTGCAGGAACTTGCTTGGTTTTGCAACCTATCATAATTGGGTTTTAAACAGAGTTTTTCTGGTTTGCATAATCAAGAATAGTCCTGAAGAAAAACACAGGGTCATATACAAATACACACGGCTGATGGAGAGGAAAAATGAAGGAAGAAAAAGCAGGAAATGACAAAGAGGATTCAAGAACATGCACAACAGAAGCAATACACGTTACAGCTCTAATTATTTACAACTTGAACTTTATCATAAGCAAAAGCTGGAGAAATGAGAAAAGAACAGAGAGATTAAGGGACATGCTCGAATTTAATTTAGAATGGCAAAATGTGTAAAAAATTTAACTGTTGAGTGTCTCTGATTACAGTCTTCTCACTGCTTAGATAGTGTTTTGTGGAACCTTTTACTTGTGTGTGAGGAGTCGGTGTATGTGCGTACACATGTGCACATATATGTGGTGTTCACTGCACTGTGCCTTTATTCATTTCTAGAAGGACCACTTCAAGCAAAAATAAGTATTTCCATCATTTTGCCTTACCTGCCTCTCTGTCAGTTTTTAACAAATCCCCATTTTCCAATTATACTTGCCTGTCATTTGACATTTTTATCTGACAAGTAAATTAAGGTCATCGGGAAGTTTCAGGCTTGAAAGCCCTTTATAGTGATTTGACTACTTGTTAAAAAAATCCTAATATATTGGACTCTGGCACCTCTGCCAACACAGTAAAATACAAACAAGAGAAGCAGAGCGATCACTTTATAAGTACTTACAGTCTCAGCTAAAAATCCTATTGCTTAGAGATGGAAAGAACTAAGTTAGTCTGGAATTTCTCCCCTTCATGAATTTGACTCTGGTTCCTAATAGAAAATATATGTTATTAAGCTGATAGATTGTGTTCTGGTTTAGGTAAAACACCAAGAAACAGCAGCTCCATTCAGCAGAAATGATCCAGGACACGTGCCTTTCTTCGTCTCGATAGCTGCAGAGCGCTTCTTTGGCCCTCAGAATCAGTCCCTACATTTGCACCTTTAATTCTCATGAAGGCAGGCCTTGGTTTGCCTCCTTGGCAATGAATGTCTGTTGGAGAAAACCACAACTAATTTTTGTGAAATGGTTTGTGAAATTCACTGTTTTTGCACAGCTCTTTTTCCTATTTAAAAAAAAAAAAAAAAAAAAAAAAGAGAGGGCTGCAGTTTGCCAGTTTGTCCTCTCACTTCCATTGCAGAGATGGGCAAGATAGGACTCATCCAAAACCTCCTCCTCCATTTACAACTTCAAACCCTGCCTGGCTGTAACAATCTTCGCAACATTTAGCACAACCCTTGCTAGTCCAAAAACAGTATTCAGCATTTGATTTGGAGAGCCTGTTATTATTTGCATTGTTACTTGTGTGGCGTGATATTTGTCGTGTTGTGTTTTTCCAACTCAATCTGACCCTGTGGAACATAGCACAAGGCCGAGCTAGAATCCACTCCCAGAATATCACTAGATACCATTTTGGAGACTAGCTATTCAGTGGGTATTTCCTACATCATTTATGGGAAGATGTATATATTTAACTTGTCTGTGGAGAGCTTATGACCACAGATACTGAATGCCTTGTAATTTACTGCCTGTGCATATCTCCCTTAAATTATACGGTCAGAAACCTAATGGCAGAAATTTAACAAGTTGGTTTTGCTGAAAATTTGACATAAGCTACTGTTGGTTTTATTTGCTTTACTACTATTATGAAGCCAGTTTACACTGCTAATTTCTAAACCACGCACAAATATGATTTAGAAGCTAAATGTTTTTCTTGGAAACAGCATTTTATGAGGCTTTGGGCAGCAATCTGTGCGTTGTATCGGGCTTCATCAACTGCAAAGTGAGAGAATATAGCCTGCTGAGCTTTCTAGGCAGCAGCCTAGGTGATTTTCCTAAGCTTTAATCGTCATCTGGTGCCCAAAGAAAGCTGAAGATTTTGCTCAGAGAACAGTTTGCAAGTTTACAAAATCAAAGTTGCTTTCCTCATAAATCGAACATTTATTTCCTTTTCTACATTTACAACTGTTGTCAGAGGTGATTGAATAGAATTATTTATTCTCCTTTCAGAACAATGTTACATTTCACATGGAAATGGAAAGTAGGAATTAGGTAAATGTCATGTGGTGAAAATGTTCAACTGTAACTGAGTTTAAGAAATAAAACTTTGGAGTCACAAGACAGGAGATAGAAAAAAAACTGAGCCTAATTCTTCTTCTGCTCCTGTAGTACTTGGACAGTGAGGACCAACCGGACTGGAAGTACAGAATAAGTTAATAAAAAGTGCAAGTGTCTAGAGACCAGATAATTTCAGGTGATCTTTCTTTAACTCCTAAATGTCCTACAGAAAGCAGAGAGAAAAACAGGCGACATAAGAAAATCTTTTTTTTTTTTTCAACTACAGTGTTGCCAGTCACCAGTGCATGTTATAGGTAAAACTGTGTATGTTTTGTGACAATAAAAATAAATACCAGACATACAGAAGAGTGTGTGAGGCTGCACATTAAGTGTGCTTTTCCTGCTTTGCTTTCTCCTGACCTCAGTTTAATCTCTCTTACACGTATAGCACTGCTGCTGACTTCCCTGGGACAGTTGGATGGAGGGAAGTTCCGAATTAGAGGCAGGATTAAGCTAAAAAAAAAAAAATATGTTGTAGTTTTGTGTCCAAAATCCTGTCATATTTAAACTTTAGTAAATTGCAAGTGTCTGATAGTGCCAGGTTCTCACATTAAAAACCTGTAAACATCCTCACGCCTTCGTCATAGTTGGGACATGGATTACGGTTTTTCGCTTCACAGCCGCATTCGCATCTGATATCCTTGCTGAGCACCAAGGAAACTATTACAGAGTAATTGCAACGTTTGACCAGTGAAATGTTATCACCCGTTCTGCAAGAACCCTGAGTGATGGAGCTTTAACCTCTTTTCTTTGTGCTTCTCTTTCAGCTTCTGATATGGCGGCGGAGCAGGGACAGATTCTTGTAATTGCCACTGCTGCTGTTGGTGGATTCACTCTCCTGGTCATCCTCACTTTGTTCTTCCTAATCACCGGGAGGTAATTAACACGACAGTGTCCTCATTTAGTCAGGGTCAGAGTCATCCAAAAACTAAGAATTTAAGAATAATAGTGAAGTCGTTAAACCACATTTTCAGTGCTAAAATAGGGGTTAGACATAGTGGGATGAATGTCGTCTTTGTTCAGCGCTGGTCATACTCACAGACCTATCATGAGTGTTGGGTTTTGTGGGGAAAAAAAAACCACAAACTGTTTAGGAAGCTAAGCAATTATGTGAAATCAGAAAATAGCTTGGCTATTTTTAAAATAAGTTTCTGGACCTCTTGCCTGCAGAGTGAGAATTTAAAAATATAAGGTGCCTGCACCCTCAAGGCTCTGACATCAGAAGACAAAAAACCAAAAACCAGAAAACCACAGTATTTTTTACAAAATCTCGTAACTGTCAGTTGCAAAGCTTTGGAGGGTGTAACCTTAGGATTTTTGATGTTTGGGTTAGCAATGTAGCTTGCTAAAGGCACTTGAGCAGGAAATTTTTTATTACTTTTGCTATATTACCTTTGTGGGAAAAATCATACACAATTATGTATTTATTTTATATGCACATTTCTGCATCTATTAAGATAAAATACAGGAATTATCTAATTAAATTAAACTAAGGAAAACTTTACTCTGAAATACTAGAATGATTCTACATGGTGAACAGAAAATAGCTTCCTGAAGGTCCTGGTTTATTACTTTTCAGCTTTTTTTTTTTAAATTGGATTGAAGATACCCCAATTAAATCTACATTACAGCAGTACTGTTGCACTGGCAGGGGAATTCACCAGTCTGGACAATTATTTTTTATAACTACCCTCATTCTTATACTTACAATTATTTTAGTACAGTGTTTTTTGTCCACCTTCCTTCAGTTGATGTGTTGATCAGGATCAAATAATGCCATTATGCAAATTGGATGAGAAAGCATTTTGATTTGAGCAGTCAGATGCCATGCTCAATTACACACTGAAGGTTTTAAGGGACCTCACAAATTCTAATTGGACATGCTAAAAACTGCACCTAAGGGTTGAAACATCAGTCCTTGCTGGAGCTCAGATTCCCACAGGCGTAGCTGCTTCTGTGGTGCCTTGTTTCCTTTTTCACTGAGCCTCTGGATGTTGCCTGTGTGATTTCAGGACTTCACCTGCTTTCACCTGGAAGCAAAGCAGAATTTAAAAGCACAAAGACATGATGTCCCCATCTCCTCTGTGAGATATCGGTGGCACAGCAGTGCTGCCATGGAGCAAGAAAGCCTAATCACAGAATCACAGTATCACAGTATCGATTTGGTCGGAAGAGACCTCTGGGATCATCGAGTCCCACCTTTGCCCTAACACCCCCATGTCAACTAGACCACGGCACTAAGTGCCACGTCCAGGCTTTTCTTAAATACCTCCAGGGATGGGGACTCCACCACCTCCCTGGGCAGCCCATCCCAATGCCTAACGACCCTTTCTGTGAAGAAATGCCTCCTCATTTCCAGCCTGAACTTCCCCTGGCACAGTTTCAGACTATGCCCTCTTGTCCTGTCACGAGCTGCCTGGCAGAAGAGACCGACCCCCACCTGGCTACACCCTCCTTTCAGGTCGTTGCAGAGAGCAATCAGGTCTGCCCTCAGCCTCCTCTTCTCCAGGCTGAACCCCCCCAGCTCCCTCAGCCGCCCCCCATCAGACTTTTTCTCCAGACCCTTCACCACCTTCGTTGCCCTTCTCTGAACACGCTCCAGCACCTCAATGTCATTCTTGAAGTGAGGGGCCCAGAACTGAACACACGACTCAAGGTGCGGCCTCACCAGTGCCGAGTACAGGGGGACAATCACTGCCCTGGTCCTGCTGGCCCCACTATTTCTGATACAGGCCAGGATGCTGTTGGCCTTCTTGGCCGCCTGGGCACACTGCCGGCTCATCAGCCGGCTGTCGACCAACACCCCCAGGTCCTTTTCCGATTGACCACTTTCTACTGATCTAACTTTCAGACTGATGCTCTGAGAGATATGGGCCTTCGAGCAGAGGAGTCAGGCTCATAGCTCCTGCAGTAGACTCTGTCGAGGGTGTTGTGTGGGCTCTGGCCCCTTTCCCTCCTTAAGATGCAGAAAAGAGCTTCCATGTGAGGAGGATTCTCCATGGAGTTTCCTTCTTAGCTGGCTTGGTGACAGAAAAAATTCAGAGGTGGGATAGGATTCTGCGCTGTTCCTGTCCTGGTTTAGAGCCTATGTTGACGCTTAGAGAGAAGATGTTAACAGTGACTCCTCTGAAAGTGAATAATGGCCATCACGGACGGGGCTGATATCAATAGACGGTGCTGCACTTTCAGATTTGTAATTAAGTTTCTATTTTGTTGGTATAGCATTACCTCTAAGTTGAAAAGAAAGTGAAGCCCTATCAATGTAGGCTGGAGTTTTTCTTTGCAGAACCCCAGCAACCAAACACGGCACTACAGTAGCTACCATTGTGTGAATTAATGTGCTCTCTGCTAAATAGTAAAACCAGTTAAGTCTAACGTTCTGTTTAAGTTAATGGGAGCAGTTAACATTGGAACATATTGTGACCTTACGTAATCTTAGAAGCTAAGTAAATATTCCTATGATTACTACACGCACTGCCAAACAGTAGGGTCTTTCAGAAGCGAGAGGAATTATTCAAAGACAAACTTTCACAGAAAGTGATTGTGTGGAATCCTTACGTGGGATCCTGAAACATAACTCAAATGCTTCCTTTAGAAAGAACTCACTAAACTCAGGAATGAAAGAAAATGTGGAAATGGGTTTCTTTCTCTGTTTATTCCTCCTGTTTGCTAATGTTAAGGATATCAGAAATTCTCTTAGCTTTCTACCATCTTACTCAATAGGACCATTTCAATTATGTAAGATACGAATTCATTTTGAAGTGCCGCTTAAATGCAGTGATAAGAATGTATTCCACAGAAGACAGAGCAAGAAAATTTTGAATAAATACTCAATTTACTCTAGTGCTGGAGGCAAATTTCTGCGTGAAAAATGGGATTGGTACCCTACAGATGTGCTCGGCTTCCCTGGTTAGAATTAACAATTCGATGAGCTGTCGAGTCGCAGGGCTGCTGATGAGTCTATTCATAGTGGAGAGGCTGGGTTAAATGAGCACCTGCCTCTGCACTTCCCTGAGTGATTATCCACCGAGAGCAAGCGGGAAGCGCGGCTGTCAATTGCAGATAGAAAAATGAAAGCGCCAGAGACTTTGAGGCATAGGATATGCAGTGGTGATTAGTCACTGGCTTCTGTAGTCAAATTTGGGGGCCACGTGCATGCCTAGGAGGATTGGACCGGGTTAAAGCCTTGTTTCTTTGTTCCCTTGGGCAAACACTTTAAGCATAAGAGCTTAGTGTTGAGTGTTCTTGGCAGTTGGCACCCTAAAGACCATTTGTTCAGGTCCTAAAAATGGCGCTGGCGTGCTTAGTGGTCCCAGCAACTTGTCTACAATCTAAAGATTTCCATGGAAGCAGAGAATCCACTGGTTGCTGTTTCCCTCCATGAGGGTGCGTAACTGTGACAAATTCAGAGGTTTCCCTCCATGAGGGTACAGAACCATGACAGCTGCATAAGTTTCTGCCCTTCAGGTGTTCATCGTCACCTCTGTAGCAACAAATGAATTTGTGAGCGTTTCTACTCTGTTTCAGTAGTTTAAATGAACCATTGAAATGAGATGGGTATGTTCACAGATTTCTCCATTGTTAGTATTTTACTGGATATACTATCTATAATTATAGTTTAGTTTAGTTTGTAAGGCTGGTAATGAACACACAGAGGCCGGTCATTTTTTTCAAGCTGGTCTTGGAGCTGAGTATCTGTACACCAACGCACGTGTCCCCACGCACTGCGGTTCTCCAGTGGGGTCAGTGCCCTGACAACCCTTAGCCTAGCCCTTAGACCAAAAGATTTCCCTCTAAATCATACCTCTTAAGCTGTTCAGTGAGTAAGAAAGAGCTTTAAGACCAAGAGCAAATATTTTGCTTTTTCTTGACTGTAACAGTTGCTTCTATCTACCCTCTAAATTGGCATTAGGAGTCCCACAGGTAGGCAGCAGTCAGGCTGGGGCAGATTTCACTATAGGGAACCAGGAAACTTCCCACGTGGACGTTTTCTCCAGCGTACCCTTGCATTGTCAGGTAAGGTTGCTAACAATTCATGAACATCCAGAGAGTTTTGTGTTGTTTGCCAAGGATTTGCAATTTTATAGCAATCATATAGGCATGTGCTAAATCATCGTATTCACATAGCGGGCTACGTGTTGTTTATCCTATACGATAGCTGCTATCTTAGAAGAAATAAGAAATCAGTGCCTGGCTTAGACTGCAGAGAGCTACTTAGGGGAAAAAAGAAAAAGTGATCCTGATGTGAAAAAATATTTTCTTTTTTCATGAAACTTGGTGAAATCGTAGAAACTATTATCTTATGAAGAAGATGTGAGCTTTTTTGACCCACTGGATATGCAAGTTAATAGGCTAAGGTTTAATTAGCACAAACCAATGTAGGCAAACAAGAATATAGGGAAGTAATTATTTATTATCACATCAGGATTCTTGGAGGGGTCAAACTTGGAAATAAAGTATTGCATCAAACTTGAACTGAAGTCATTTTCATACTAATCATTCAGCCATGATTTATGTTCATTTGTATCTAATCTGCTTGTAGTTCCTCATGCGTATTTCTCTCTTTAGATTCATAACTAAATATATATTTCAAAGGCAAAGATTTTGGCTTTCATAAAAGCACAGTTAAAACTTAACGTACATTTATTTTATGCATGACAAGTATTTTAAATTACAACCTCACTTGCTTTTTCTTAAAAGATGCCAGTGGTACATAAAGGCCAAAATGAAATCTGAAGAAAAAAGAAGGGCTCATTTGCAAAATGGACATTGTAAGTAGTTTAACACTGTGTTACTTAATATCTATATGATGCTTTAAATGAAGAATGTTCGTTGTTTTCTGTACAGCTTTTGCTCTTGATGTTTTAATCTGTTCATTTGAATAGTTCCTTATTGTCTGCACCATCAAGGGTGCATCAAGGGCTTATTTTTATTTGTGTCCCCTCTGGAAAAATTTCGCTGAATCCACTCTAGTTAAGAAGGTGGTTTGGTATTCTATCAATAATCTTTCTCAGTTTTTCAGGTATATTTCTTTGGATTCTCAACTGCTCCAGATCATTTTGAATTTCTGCCTCAAAATTCCTCTCTTGGTGACTCTGTGCCTTATTTGTATCCAGTTCTCTTTGGCTTTAGGGATCTACGCTTCCAGCCACCCAAGAAATAAGAAGTGGAATGGGTTGCCTTCCCTCATGTTCCTGCTCACTGATCAGTACAGTGGGAGAAAATCCTGGCAATCTCTTATGGGCAGTGTATTTAGTTTAGTTTAGTTTAGTTTAGCTACTTAGTTTAAATTACTGGCCTCACTGGTTTATGTTAGAGTACCTATTTAAATTTTTATTTATTCAAAGGGTATTATCCAAAGGGTATTAAATTTTATTATTTTTTAATCTTTTTTTGTAACAACCCTGGAAATACTGGGAGGACAGAAGCTATGTCACCTGAAGTAAAATCTTTTGTCAGGTGACACTACTATATCCAGCCAAGTGGCTCTTTCTGTCAAGGAAAAGGGCACATTTCCCCATAAAGGATACTTCCTAGGAAGATTTGTTTGTTATTTGTTTCCAAACATGCTCAGAAAGGAAAGAAGATGAAAACCTTCCTGCTGGAGAGTTTGATATATGCCTCTGAGATCGTGACTCAATTTGAGAAAAGCCTCACTCAGTGTCTTTCAGGCCAGGGTAAACGATGACTCTATTTCATGTCGACACAAGGCTTCATCTCAGAGGCTTCTCACTCATTTGCAGTTCCCTCAGCGTCAGACCTGCGGGGGCAAGTCTCTACTCATGTGTGTGCTCCATCGAATCAAGGATAAAGAGGAATGACTGTGATTTACCCAGCAGTTAAGACTGTATTGCCAACGATATGCCCTCCTTTACACTGAGCACTCAGTGCCTCCATAAGAAGTACCTCCTTCATGGTAGCAGCAATCTTTATCTGACTGCTGACTACCTACAGATTTGGTATCCAGCACCTCAACTTGAAATAATGTGTGGGGCTGTGCCATCTCTGCTGGGATCAGTATAAGGGTGACCTCTCCTAGACTGGTTGAAGCTGTTTTAAAAAAAACAACTCTGCTGCAAAACTTACACTGTAACCAGTGTTAACGTTGTCGCTTCCTGTTCCCACATTTGTCATGTCCACGCTTTACATCCTCTGCTTCTGCTGTGCGCAGAAGAAAACCCTCTCCTGTCCATCCTTCCTCTCTTCCTCGGGAGCTCGGTGTGAGTCAGAGGAAGATTTCAGGAAATAAACTCTTTGAAGGGAGTTAGAAAGGGGTCCACGATCTTGCTGGTAATATGACATCCCATGATGCCTGATGTCCTCCTCATTTCTGTATGATGTGTGTACTTCTATTGGCAGTGGTCCAAATGGCTGTTGCACACTACTTGATGAAGCCCAGCCACATTTGTATGTGTCTAAACGTGTGTTCTTCACCTAATGCATTTAGGCTCATCAGATAATGAGCTGCTTTAGGCTGAGCTACTAAGTGCTAGCAGGAAGAAGGCTGAGAGGTACTTAATTATTTTAAAAGAGGTTCTCTGGACCCAGCTGCAGTTCCCCCTTACCCTGATAAGTTGATGCATTGTCTACATCAACTTCTGCTAATGGATTGAAAATTTTCCAGAAATTAATCACCACATGGCAGCAGCCTAAAAGAATTCCAATCCAGATAGTCCAAGAGAAACAATGTGAGTTCTTGTACATGCTATACTCAAGAACACAAGGGATATTAGCCATGCCAGAAAATGATGGCTTGCTGGAGCCTGCCAAAGCAATCTGGCACCAACCCGCTATGGCCACGGCCATCTCCAAGGAAGCAGACAGAAATTATTGAAGGCTTGTAAATGGATTTGGATATTTTTGTTCTCGTCTTGCACCTGGCTCCCTGGTTGTTCCAGCTGATCAGAAGAGAACAAAGCAGCACAGTCCTCCAGGACCCATCCTCAGAGAAAAGGATCTCAAAGATTGGATCTGTTTGGCAAAAGGAATGTTCAGCCATCCACCCGGAAATGAAAGGAGTGATGACATTACTGTTTTCCAAGTAAAGGACAGATTGCCTAAATTGCCCAAGGAGCAGCAAAGGGGAAAATAAACTGCTTTGGCAGTAATCGCTGTTAGTCTGGAGGATCTGCTTTTCCCCGTATCTTTAAGTCCTCACTGAATGTCTCTGTAGACACCCTTTCAAGTGACCAGCTCAGAGCTGGTATTTTCTCTCATGACTTGCTGTGTTTTCCAGATTTACCAGCTGTACCTGAAGCATTCCTTAAGGATGTGAGCTAAGTGCAGAGACTCCAAGGAGCCTCTTCAGACTAAAATACTAAATAGCGTTTGGAAAGGAAATGCTTACAATAAAAAAAGAAAAACAATAATTTATCTTACCCAAAATAACATTTTCCTTAAAACTTAGCTAGGGCTGTAATTTTTTCCTAAGGAGAAGTTTCCAAAAACTTTATTATCCTCTTAATTTTCCTACCTGAAATGCTGTACCTCAGGAGATGCTTGTGTTCAGCTGGGACAGAGACAGAACAGCTTAAGAGTTTGACACTGTCTTAGCAGTTGAATACCAAAGACTGAGTTTTCTAAAGACCTTTGACTTTTTGTTCCTGTGGGACAGGATAAACTCTGGGACCTGTGTAGCTAGCAAACATGACAGTAACTAGAGGTATAAATAACATTCAGAGAACCTAATACACTTATTTCCTCCATTCTTTATGTTAACGCTGGTTAGCAGTTATCGTTGCAAGCTGAAAGGATGTTTGATGTAACTATGCACTGCAGCAATCCTGAAGAAGTATCTGTCCATGCTTTCAGTCACCCAGAACGTCTCAGAAGATTTGAGCAGGGTCCAGCAGGACCTTGCTTACAGTCTTAGTCAGTACTTTTGAATGTTTTTGCTAGGGCTGGGTTGGCAGAGGCTTATCCTCCGTCTCTGGAGTTGTAACACCCAGCTCTTTAATGTCACAGAAGCCTCACCTAAAAAAGCCACTTGAAGGATAAGGGGAAATGTTTAAGTCTGTGCTTAGTCATTCTTTGAAGGCCCTGGTGGTGACAGCAAATGAGGACAACTCATGTGCGTTCTACAGTTGGTTTCTCTGAAATCAGTAGTAAACATTAGCAATTTGGGGTCATTATCCTCTTCTGTTGGGTTCTGGAACTTTAAATGTGGAAGATTTAATATATTATTTCCAATCCTTTCAATTGTCTAGTCAACCAAAAAGAAAAAAAAAAAACAAAACAAACCATGTTGTTACAGTGCATGAATGTCAACGAATTCTTGATTCCTAGTATTCTGTCTTTTTTTGCAGTACGTTTCCCAGGAATCAAAACATACATTGATCCAGACACGTATGAAGACCCATCTCTTGCTGTCCACGAGTTTGCAAAGGAGATAGATCCTTCAAGAATTCGTATTGAGAGAGTTATTGGGGCAGGTAAAAGTATACTCACTTTAAAAAAATGCCTAGGCATGGAAAGGCTGCTTTTCTCAAGTCACCAGGATAATCCAGGTGGACAAGTATGGTACAAAATGTGAGCGTATTTCTCTGATAGCACCAGTTCACTCTCAGGTGTGGTGTAAATGAGGTATTGTATTTGGCTAATGTTCCAAATGTGGGTATATTCAAATAAGGAGTTCTTGAGAGGCAGGTTCTCCAAAACAATAGGTTTATCCCAAACCTTTTTTAAGGCTTTATTAATTTTTTGGGTAGGGTTGGGTTTTTTGGCTTTTTTGGGGTTTTTTGTTTGTTTGTTTGTTTTTTCTTTGTTCCAAATGTACTCAGAACACTGTGTCGCTCAGCATTTGCCATAGTTAGTGTTACATACTCTCTGTCATTGAGGGGGAGATTAGATCAGAATCTCTTTCTGGGGGGAGGTAAGATCAGAATATAGAAGACTGAGAAAAAAACACTCTAAAAAAGAAAATAGGAGGAGTACAAGGGGGAAGAGGAGAGACTGGCTTGGGATAGGCTTTCCTGTAGCTGTGCAGAGAGGGATTATTGGCAGAGAGGGAAAAGAGGAAGATCTGATGGGAAGGTGTAGACAGTATGAAAGGTGATGTGGAGCTTGGAAGCAGGATGAATGAGAAAAATAGCAGCAGGATCTCCTCTTACATCCCTGTTTGTCAAAGTGTGTGGTGGGGAGAGAGAGGAATTACATCTGAGCAATTGTTTTAGACCCTGTTCTCGTCTATAGGGTTGAGAATATCTCATTGGGGATATAGGCCATTTCACAACTGTTTGAAAATAAGTTTCAGAAACTCATTAATCCCGTACATGCTATGTTTATAGGTATGTCTATTAAGTGTTATCCTCTTGTCTTAGCTTTGGTTTAATTGTCAGGTTTTGCTACTTGGGAAAGTGCTGTGCAAGTGTTCCCACGCATTCACTTTTGGAAAGCCTTTGTAGGAATAAAGGCTCATGGCTGCTGTCTGGAGTTCACTAGACGTCCTGGTGGCAGCTCAGTGGTGACAGAAAACACACCGTTGTGACTGACACAACTTAAGGGCAACAAAGCTGGTTAAGAGCCCGGAGAAAAAGTCTTATGAGGAGCGGCTGAGGGAGCTGGGGTTGTTTAGTCTGGGGAAAAGGAGGCTGAGGGGAGACCTGATCGCCCTCTACAACAACGTGAAATGAGGTTGTATCGAGGTGGGGGTTGGTCTCTTCTCCCTGGTAAGTAGCGATAGGAGAAGAGGGAATGGTCTCAAGTTGCACCAGGGGAGGTTCAGGTTGGATATTAGGAAGACCTTCTTCACTGTCAGAGCCGTTAGGCATTGGAGTGGACTCCCCTGGGAGGTGGTGGAGTCCCCATCCCTGGAGGTGTTCAAAAAACATTTAGATGTGGCACTTCGAGACATGGTTTAGTGGGTTTAGTGGGCATGGTGGCATTGGGTATACGGTTGGACTTGATGATCTTTGAGGTCTCTTCCAACCATAATGATTCTATGATTCTATGAAAAGCAAAATACTTGTAAAGATCAGAGTCTTGTAAAACCGTTGCTTGTAACTTGTGTTCTGACTATCTAGGACAGATAGCATTTCATTATTGACCAGGTCCTGAGGTTATTTGCTCTCTGTTTTACCCAGTTGTAATGGACTTAGAGAGACAAGGCTAGAAAAGGGCCTTACAAGTTTACCTAACTAGTGGATCTCAATGCATGGCTTGTGACCAACACGGCATTCAGAAGGCCCACCAACATTTCACACAGTTACAACAAATTAAAACAAAAAACAGACTGACAAGGAAAACCTGAAGTTCCTGTGGTGCATTGCATCCTCAGTGGTGTTACCCACACACCGTCAATGGCTGGGGAGCATTAATCATTTCTCAGCTCCAGCAGAAAGGGCAGGTGGGAGAATTAAGGGTCTGTGTCAGGAATTTTGATGAACGTAGGAACAGAATCCTGGGCTCTAATTCCAGCTCTGAAATGTAATTTCTTCCTGTGAAAGGCATTAACATTATACCTGTTTTCAGTTTACACAATATGAGTGTTTCTCTGTGTCCTTAAGATATTAAGAGTGACTGATTTTTGTAAATTGCTGTCTTAAAGGTACTTATAATACTGACTACACAGATGTGTCTTCATCTCACTGTAATTTCATTTCAGTAGCAGTAATTAGTATGTTCTATACTCCAATGCCCATCTTTGAGCTATCCGTTCTGGGCTTCCTTTAACAATGCTGTTTTATTACTTACTACGTAAATGCCAACATACAAATGCTTTTCTTTTTTTTACCTTATTTACTTTGTCTAACTTTAATGCCATCAAGAAAAAAAATAATAATAATTCACAGTACAACAGACTGCAAAAATCAGAGTTACATCTTGCAGAAGGGGGTCACTGGAAAAAAAAATAATTTTAATTTGCTTATAGTGAGCCCACCAAAGAACTCATGCTAGCAAGTATTGTCAGGAAAATTACTATCAGGAGACATAATGCGCTGTGATCCTTCTTTTTTATCTTTGTTTCATGTATCTTAGTCACTCAAGAAAGGAGAGGCATTTTTCAGTTGAGATTCCTCATTTAGTGGTACATTACTACACTGATAGCAATGGAAATGTCTCCAGTGTTGCTAAGAAGTGTTTTATGCACTAGAAAACGTCATGCAAATAATATAACAGAAATAAAACCAGGTCTGTTAACAAACAAGGGAGAGAAAGTATCGACCTGAAAGTAAGAGAGAAAATTCTGTTTGACACTGCAGTCCATATCACTAGAGTGGAGTTTACCTGATTGCTTAAGGTAGGTAATACGGAGCTGGCGCTGTGCACCGTGGGAATTAGGAGCTCGAGAGAGCCCCCAGAGGGCTGAATTCTGCAGAAAACATTCTATCTGATTTCTTTTATTTCTTCCTTTTCTTCAGACATACTGTAGATATTGATGGCTTAGATTATAAAGCACATTGAACTACGTTCAGCACCGGTATAACTGCTGATTTCAGAGCAGTTGAGTACAACAGACAAGGATTGAGCTTATTGATTTTAGTTCAGATGAAAATTGTGTCCTTATTCTCAGCTTAGTTCATTTATGAAAATTCTTTACTCAGCTTCTCTCTCCCTTTTCTTCTACGTGTGGGAGTGAATTTTTGCCTACTTTGACGTATTTTATTTTTGTATTTTTTATCTTCAAAGATATTTGCCTAGCAGGACTTGCAAACTGGTTGCAATGAAATTTAAACTGATTTCCATGCAGGCAAGATACAGGTTAAATACCATGCCTGAGGCATGGAGAGCGCAGATTCTCACAGAGTTCTTCAGTAGCTGCTAGGGTACATAAAAAATCATTATAATTCACAGCACTGCTAAAACTTTCTTTATCCCTTCTATCTAATTCTGTATTAAACATTGCAACCAGATATAAAATGGATTTCTTATCATAGATGAATCACTTGTAAAAGATGTTTACATTTTCACCTAAGTGAAACAAAAAATGAGAATCTTTTACAAAATGAAACGTAAACTATTTTAAGAAGTGAATTAATAGATGTATTTCTTCAATTAGTTTTGTTTGAACTTTTTATTTTGATCAATGGTTTGCATTTTGCATTTCTGTCACTTTAATTTCTCAAAACAGAAATTATTTTCGTTCAAGAACTAGAAGTTTTCATTTTTAAAATGTCAAGGTGAAACATTGCAGATATTTAAGATTTTTTTTTCTAGAATTTCTAGTCAAGAAATTTTTGAAATTGATCTTTTCCTGTAAGCGGTTCCAGTTTGGTTTTTCAATGGAAAAAGTCACATTCAAAAGCTCTTGACAATTCACTAGTTGCAGTGCAGATGGCTTTAACACTCAAGGCAAGTATTTTTTCTAGTTTCTTTTTTTCAGCTTACCTCTCTGTACCCAAGTTATCTTCTTTAGTATTTGGTAATTATAAACTTGGATTATGTGAATTGGAAATGTACGTTATATTTTTTACTGCTGAGTAATCTATCTGAGGATGATACCATCAACTCAGAAGTAGTATTTTTAACTAAAACTACTGAATATCTCATTTCTGAGTACAGAACTGTTAAAAGTAAAAATCTCCTAACCGCTCCACTTACCTCAGATACACGTACACTATAGACTTGAAAAACTAAGACTACCTATTTATTATTTTTGTCCTATATTTCAGGCTCTGCTTAGAAGCGCAAAATCTAAGAGCCCCTGAGTGTATTTACCTGCTTACACTTTGTTGTACAGGTACATCTGAACGCTGCACAAGACATTGGGATTTCTCTGCGATCATTTATTAGCCATATTACACAGACAATTTGATCTGCTCCTTTGGTGCCAAGTACAAGTAACATAAGGGTAGTGCTACGTGATGTAAGAGAAGAGAGCAAATACCTAAAATGGTTGCTTACACACTGACTGCTCCACACGATGATGTTTTTCCGTCAGATACTAAAAACGGGTTCAGAGAAAGTGGCAACAAATGGTCAAATTGAAAACATAGCAAGGTCTTCAAGCAGTAAGAGCAGATTGGAAAAGAGCCTTCAGTAGTTACAAAGATCAAGATGACACTTGGCCTGCAACAGTCAAAGACATCATCGTCAAAATAAAAGGAGAATGTCTATACATTTAGTTGTCAATTTAATAAACATTCCTGTCGGAAGTTCATATCATTAGGCAGGTAATAATAGGAAGTGCAAAGAAGCAACAATTTAAGAAAGAATGCTGAGCTCGCGAGGTTACTGTGAGAAAAATGAATTAGTGCAGTCTCTTGTTAAAAACCTTCTTTGGGTCCTCCTAGTGCACATTTACTGAGCTGATGTTTTTGAATGGGGCCACTATATTCTGTGGAGCCAGTTAATTGAAACTTTGATCTCAGCTCTCCCAGTCTTCCCTCTGGCGTGCTTTTGGTGTTCCAGTACATCTGCAAACTCTGAATTAATATCCTTCCTTCTGGTTCTTTGGTGAAAATATAGCAAGTAAAACACAGACTTTGCAAAGTCCTTTTTAAATTATTCATACTTTACTTACTCCATGTGTAGACGCGATAGATCTGCATTAAAGTAATAGTATCTGCACACAAGAGATCTGCATTAACGTCTGCACATAAATCCAGATTCAAGATGGATATGTAGTCAGGTTACTTGCCCTGAGTGGCTTCCCGTAATCTCCTACCTTACATCTGGTTCATCTGAGAAAAAAAATACTGTGTTGTAGACCTTTTGATTGAATGAAAGATTATCCAGGTTAATAGCTCTTAATGGTCTCTTTTGTTAGTCTTCTAGTAAGTTCTGCTGATATCTTGGTTCAAACTGGCGGGTAAAGGCAATAGGGGAAACAGTTTACAACCAAACTGGAAATTGCAGTTTGATCAAATATTCATGATAGCAAGCAGATTACAATACCATAGGCAAAACAGAACCTATTTGTAAGTGCTTAGCTCATGTTTCTCGGGGTAACATCCTCCAAATAAACAGGTATTAATGAAGTTCACATTCTAGCAATAGTTACTGTTTAAATGGTGAAATTGGTTAGTCTGTTCTATTTTCTTTTTTCCACTACGTATGACAAAGTTCTACTATTGTTTAATTTGATATTGTATATTCTTGGATTCAAAACTCTTGGCCGAGTGTTTTTTATCACTGGTATTAAATATTCCATAAGGTCTCCCATTGGTTCATTACAAAACTCACTGGGTGCCTTTTTGCCAGTTCCCACAATTTGCCATCTGTTCATTGCCGTAGATTTTCTTCAGATGGTCCCTTTCAGCCACTCTTCATATTGAGCTTGCTACACCTACTAACATATTATCATATTGTTTGATTTTGTCCTGTCCATGACACTTTTTTCTGCCCCATCACTTCTGGCTCTTCGGTTTAAGTCTTCAGCACGTCTTCACGGAAGGGATTCCCAGAGGTACTTTGTCAAGCTTGTCTTAAAAATTACGATTATCCTCTTATTTTCTTTGTTAAAATGTTGAAACTCAAGGAAGAGGCCAACTCTTTGATTTTTCACAGAGAGTACACTATATTCTTTTTATAATCTAAATGTTCTGCCAATTCTCCAACAGGTCTAATGACTAAAACTAGGGAAAAGGAGTTGAGATGTATTTGGTGCTGTGACCTTTCTTTTCTATCAACAGCAGCTGTCTGTGTTGCAAGACATTTGTTTTGATCCCATGCACTAATACCAGATTGCATATCAGACTTTTAAGTGACTGGCGATTCCTGTTTCATTTTAAATAACACATATGTTATGACGGAATGAGAAAAGGGATGCATGGTTTGCATAGGGTAAGTTTCTAGACTGGTCAATTAGCATCTTTTTGTATAACATACAGGAAGACCTGTAGGGTTTATATCATTAAACCGGGGATTATTTACACTTTATTAAAACTGAACAGACAATGAACTCTATCTTTTTCTCTAGTTATCACCAGCTTTTTCCCTGGAGCAAGGAAAGATGTCGACTTCATTGACATCTGGCTCTTAGCTTCTACTTATTACACATGCAGTCATGAACCTTTACTGCTGCAGGGTCAACATTTGTCTTGTTTATCTTCAAACTTAAGCCATGAGACTTAGAATCTTAGACTTTAAAAATCCCTTTTGTTGCATACATTCCCCTTTGACTTTAAAAACATTCAAAAATCTTTATCTGAACAAAAGTGTAGAAAAAATACTCTGGGATGAAATCTTGTCAAACTCTTTCTCAGTGTAAATAGTTCAATGCTTTAAATTATATCATTGGTCTCCACCTAGTCTAAACCAGAACTAGAAGTTGTTTATGCATACCTTAGCTTTCTAAATGTAGTAACTGTCTGTCTGTGAGCTGATGATCACTTACTGTGTTTGACATCATATCACAAAAAAGTTGCTGTTAGTGTTTATGTTCACCAGTTTATAAATCCCAGTATCCAAGGGGAGTGAAATTTCTTTCTAACTGTACAAAACATGCATCCATAAAAGGGAAAAGAAACTGGTCAGGGAGAAGACACGATGTTCCTTCCCCTGCTTTGCATGTTGTACAGATAATAAATCTTGGGGTTGTAAGTCCTTCACCTGCCTCCTTCAGTTTAATTCATTTCAAAACACTCGGTGAACAGCCTTTTACAGTCCCTAAGGTATGAATGCCATTATTTATGATATTCTGAAGTTGTTGTACTCTTGTATAATCTTGTACTAGCAAAACGATTTATTTTATGACCTATGCTTTGCAAATTATTCTCAAAAATGAGATTTTGCAGTTCGGCAGATTTACTGATCATGAAATCTCTTTGAAAATCTGGATATTAAGGCTCTAGTATTTTTGCTTTTCACTGTTTAATCAAGAGAAAGAAATTGGAAAATTTTCTCATTTTAGGCATTCAAGTTTGAGAAGCTAGTAAGGTGCAATAAGGTCATGGCTTTAGAGATACGTTCTAGCACTGCTGGATGTATCACAGAATAGAACGTTGATACACGATATCTCCTTCAAAACATTCAGGTTTCATGACTTTTGTTTTCTGGTAGGACTTCAGAATTCCAAATGCACTACTAATTTTTTAGTGGCAGTAGTCAGGCAAACAAACTTTTAAGGAGAACCTTCTAAGAGCTAAAGGGGCAAAATCATATAGAAAAATCCCTACCCAACTTCCCTTTTTGTCAAAAGATTCCCAGAGCATTAATCTGGTGACTATATATTTTCACACATATGCATACATCTTCAGGGAAGCACATGCTTTGATTTATTTTTAAAAATTAAGTAGAAATAAAACAAATAGAGTTTTTTTGGTAGAAAGAAGACCTAGGACACTTGGCTTTTGTTAGCTCTTTAAGAAGCTGCTAATTTATTCAGAGGTTATGTTCAGAATCTGTTAACTGTATTCTTGCACTTGATGATGTCTCTGTTTTGAAGTGAAAGACAAGCTCTGAAATTGTTTTTTAATCCCTCCACTCTTCCTGGATCTTATTGGCTAATAAAACCTTGTTTTGTTTTAGTAGGGGCAACAGAGCCTAATTAAATAAAAGCTCGATGACAATATCCATTCTAGTCCTGTAACATCAGGGGGTTACCATTTTCTGAAGTGAACCTTCTGCCTTTAAGGCCTCACTTTTCTAGATTCGGTTCATATCTGAAGACACACTGTTACAGGATAGAGCTCTCCTGTTTTGTTTTCTTTTGTTCTGTCCTTAAAGTTTAGGGAAAACTAATGCCGACAGCACCCAATGGAAGGGGTGACAAATTATTTCCTCCGCTTAAATATGTATCTGTTTATGACTCGGTTTTTGCTTTTCAACAGTTCTGATTCCAAAATGACTGGAGTAGAGAATTTGGTTTTGCTGTGGAAGTACCCTGCACAGAGAAGTGCTTTGAAATATTTTTGTGAACAGTGTTTTTCATTTACTGAATTATGACCCATTGAAAACTGACCTGCAGGCATCCAGAGTATATTTGGTAGGGGCTTTGAATAACTTTTGAGTGACTTCAAGATCAAAGGAAAGTTGTGATTTCCATACAGGCTTAATAAGTAAATGTGTAAAAGGAAGGCGAGGAGACATGCGTTCTTCAAAGGCCCTTACATATGTAGGAAAACATCAGGTGAAGCAAGCTTTGAGATTCCTCCTGTTCCGTGACTCAGTCCTGATTTGCTGAAACTGCTGACCTTTGGTTGTCTGAACAGTGACATGTGTAATTCCTTTCAAGTGTAAGTCCATTTAAATAAATGAAGTGCAAGTGCTTTTCTGGGGTATTATAGCATTAAGTACATTTAAATGCTTTCTACAACTGAAGGATAGTGAGGTATTCTGATATTTTCATAGCATTTCTTTTCATATAGATCTTAGTGCATGACACCCCTATAGATAGATATTGCTATAAATAGATATTTTGTCATCATTAGAATTAAAATCTAAGTGTCATTACGTTCCTTCCTCGTAGCATGCTCAGTTATATCACAAACATATTGATATCAAGTTCAGTCTCAAAGTGTCGGTTAAACAAGATGAACCACACTGTGGAGGGTGGTTGGTTTGGCTATTGCAGTGAAAGTACAAGTCCCCATGATCTCGTGGTGTGGCACAAAGGAAAGGTGATTATTTGTTGTAAAGTAATGCTAAATATTTTGCATTTCTGGGGTGTGATGAAACTCAGGAACTTGAATATCCCATCTGTTATTTCTCTGTCCACTTCTAGGGGATGTGTGAGTTTCTCAAATATTGTTTGCGTTCTTTTTTCACTGACAGCTACAAATAACTCTGAGCTGTTAAAAAAGATAGGTTTTAGGACAGCTATTGAAGGTTATTTTGAAAAATCAGATGTTTAAGTTCAGCAATACAAACTGTGCTGTAGTTCTTCAGGCACTGTGAATGATCTAACAGATATTTTATCTGTTTAAGGTGAGTTTGGAGAAGTATGCAGCGGACGTCTGAAGACACCAGGAAAAAGAGAGATACCTGTTGCAATCAAAACTCTAAAAGGCGGCTATGTGGACAGGCAGAGAAGAGATTTCCTGAGAGAGGCTAGTATCATGGGGCAATTTGATCACCCAAATATAATTCGCCTTGAAGGAGTTGTTACAAAAAGTAAGTTACTATTAATATTTTTTGTTGTTTTTCCCATTCTGTGTCATTTAGTATCAAAATTAAGCATTACCTCTATGTTCAATGTGGATTACAATTCTCAGAAATTAGCCAAATCATAAAGTGGCAGTAGATACTGCAGAGTTTGGGACCATAAGAGGAAATGCGTAGCCTGTCTTTTTTCAATTAGAAATGTTTTATTTTTATCATTTAATAAAAATCCTCCTCATTCAAATGAAGTCTTTACAGGTTCTTACGAAATAGGCTGTAGAGTTTGCTTATAGGCAAGTGGAATACAGTAGAGGAAACCATAAATGTAACTGAGTTGACAATGAAGTCAAATCATCTTGCAAGGTAGCATCTATATTCTTCTTTTCCCACAAGTACTCATTATTTGTTTGACTGATTTTGGTACCAGAAGAGGTCAGTTTCCTATTTTAAAGAAATAGAATGTAAACTCCTTTAAACTTATTGTACTCTTGCAAATGAGTCACTAAAATTCCAGAATAATCTGTGAAGTGTCTTACTTTTTATACCTGTTGCAGCTGCCAAGAGATATCCGTTGCCTCTGAAATCTAGCATTTTTAGTGGCGTTGTGGACTTTTCTGAAATGCTGAAATATCTAGTTATCGTTTAAGTATTAAGTAAAAAGTCATTAACATGCATGTAATTTCTTTAATACCAACTTTTTGCAGTAATGAATTAAAAAACTCATAAATTATACTCTTCTCAAAATTAATTATTGCCTCAACTAAGCCATGTTGTTTGCTGATTTGCAGTACTTATATTTTTCTTTTAAAGATCAAGTGTTGTGTGTATAAACCAATGATGTCCTCTTACCGCCACAGTAAATGCAATAAATATGCTATGAACATTTCCCGTTTTCACCTTGTTACAATATCGAAAACAATGTTTGGAAAACACACTGTACTAGAACAAAGAGGAAAATATAGCTCCTGAACTCCTGCCATTGGAATGGAATTTCAGTAGGTTTATGGGATGAACTTGTTCAAATCTGTCTGCGAGTCTAAATTAAGATAAGCAAAGATAAATTCATTATTATCTAGGAACGTTTGGTTACTAGACTAACAAAATACATTAGGTTGCAGACTTCTGGAAAGATATGGCTTAGTCTCCTCCGTTGCTCTCCTGTCAGTACCTGCCCTGCTGACAGCAAGCAAGAACACAAGTTAATACAGGCTGAGCAGCATTGGAGGTCTTTGTCGAGAGGTGTAAATATGTAGAAACTTAATTGAATTTAGCTCCTTGCTTCATAATGAGCAGTATAGCAGCAGTTAAATTCCAGCAGTCTTCACCAACACGGGCAGTTTATTAACCAGTATCACAGGTATGACTAGGATCCATGTGGTGGATCTAGTAGTGTGTGTCTCATTTCTGAAAAAGGCTAATGGCTGTGATTTACGAACATTGTTTAAATCCAATTAGATGGTGCACACAGAGTACAGTATAATGTACTTGGCAATGGCATGATTGTTTAATCTTTGCCACATTTATAAATTTTCTTTCTGTAATGTCCCATCATCAGTCTAGAGAGAAATGAAGATTATGTTCAGGAAACAGAAACAAACAGATAGATCAGTACTCCAACGTTAGCGTATTTGTTCCTGTTCTACAGCAAAAGTGGTTATAGACAAGTGTAAGTCAAGTCATCATTAGCAGTTCCGCTTTTCTCTAAGGAGTCAACAAACTTTAATATTGTTTTTTGCAATATTTGTTTAGAGGTAATATAAAAATAGTAGGTGTTTACTGTTATAGTCACATTGTCCTATAAAAATATGCATCTCTCAGATATAAAGTAAGTAGAGAAAGTTTCAAAGAAAATATTTTTGGGCCAGGCAGGTTTAAAAAAATAAAACAATTATATAGCAATAATTACAGAATAAAAAAAAATATATGAGTTATCAACAAATTTCACCCTAAGGCGTGGGTAGGGCAAGTTATATAAAGTGTAAATGACAAAGTTGTGCCGTACTGCTCTGCTGCAAGTAAGAAGCTAGAAGGCAGGCTGAGCAATGGACAGAAGCACTCTGCTACGCTTCTCTTTTGCCGGTTTATCTTTAGGATGTTGCCTTGCATTTATACTGCCCCATCTGTGGAATTTAGAGAGTAACATGGCTTCAGCTGGGAGCAGAACAGTTACCTGGCATTTCACTAAATCCTAAATCTAGGATTGCACAAGCCAACATGGGACAGAAATTTCCTTTAACTAAATGGTGTGCTGTAGAAGTCAGACAGAACCTTGTCCTAGCCAAATTATTTATGTAAGGATAGCATGATTAAAAGGTGTTTTGTGTTAAAACTTAGATTAATAACAGCAGAAACTATTTATCTGATGTGTGTTACAGTTCCACTAACCTATAAAGGCACATCAGATGCAGTAAATTTGATTAATAGACGTGTAATGCTGTTCTTAGCACATGCTTTCCTCTTTGTAACCATTAGTCATTAACTTCTAGCAGTTGCTGATATATATTGCATCAGTTTGTAAGCAGTACCTTCCATTACAGTGTCATTGACTATTGAACAAAAAAGAAAAAGGGTTTGATTGTAGTAAGCAGAAGCGCTCTACCAAGTCAATAGCTATTGACCGGGGCAATAAGAAATTCACCTGTTCATCACAAATGAGAGCTTTTATCTGGTGCTACCAGCTAAGCAGATGTTAACTTTTAAATGCTACTGTTTTCAGAATTGCTATGGAATATGTACTGTACGGGATGAAAAAATGCTAAACTAAGCCTGCTGAAAAGTAGATCTGAAACAGAGTTTTAATCCCCTTTTCCGATTGCTTCATTTCTCATCTGCCCTAACTGCGGTCCCTAATCCCAAAGAGCAGTAGGCAGAACAGTTGCTGTAGCACAAGCTTTCGGTTAGCAGAGAGTTCATTTCAAGGGCAAATACACCATAGTACAGAATCTGGATCCGATCGTTTACTTATATTGCTAATCAGAAGTCACAAGGGAAACTTTGTTCCTGTTTGGTTTGTTTTAGCAACACCATTCCTTGTATGGTTTGCCCTAAAAGGCTGCTTATTGTCTCGCAAATTTATGAGAGATGCTTAAGCACTTTATAAAAATATCCATGTTTCCCTTTCAAGTCGTATTACCACAGTGATAATTTTGGTACCTTTTCTTGAGTGTGTCAGGACATGCTCAACTAGGCTGTATGCCATTGTCGAAACGGCTGCTATTTCATAAACAGGTATAAGAAAAAGAAAACTTCTTTCCGCAGTGCAAACGTGTGTAACCAACATTGAGATCTGGGCTATACAGAAGTAAGATGTATCTTCCACTTCTACATCATGTCGAAGTCTATGTTGCAGAGTTTCCATGAAAAGCCTGTAAAGTAAATCAAAGCTGTGCTTACAGCAAACACCTGCCAGCATAACTGTATGTACGAGAGACATGACAAAATGGTCTCTGACTATTGTAACCGTACTGGAAGAAATCATTGGTGTTACACTAGCCAAAGTGGAATCTATGGTTAGTTTAGCTTGATGGTGCCTTACACGATAGTTTAAAGCACATCCATGTCAGTACTGTGTAATACTGTGTCAATACAGAAATGCAAGGGCTTTATTGTAGTCATATTCTTAGTGTGTTCTCCTCCCCCTCAGACTTTACCCCAAATAATTTTCAATTGTTAAAATTAATTTTGAAGGAATTGCTTCCGCTCCCGAACTTTGACTACGGGAGGATTTGTACCTGTCACATGTACAAGAGGAATCTTTTTTGAGACTTTCATTTTGTTTAACAACACTGTGTATATTGTTATTCTCCGGAAGAATTTTTGAATTCATCCCTTCACAAAAGGAGGATGAATGAAGACAGCACCTAGATTTTTGGTTCTGTGTAAGCTCGTCCTCGTAACATTGACTCTGGGTTTGGAACGACACCTTCAACTCCCTTATTGTCTCCTCGCTGTTTTGCTTTAGTGTCTTTCAAGTTGTGAATGCTATCACAGTTCTGAAATAGTTCTTTAATCCATCATCTGGCAGGCAAAATTCAAAGCTTTAGTCATTGAGTTTCTTTTTAAATTATTGTATATATCGTGTTCAGTGCAAGAAGAGTCCTGAGGTCAGCGTACCTTGCCTTGTCCATGAGGAAGGCAAAGCAGCAGCATGATCCTCTTTCACTACAATTTGCAGTATGTAGCTCTTCATATCTGACCCGTTTTTCATTTTTCAAAAATGCAGGAGATACCAATGAACTTTTTTTTTTTTTCAGCCAAGACATTGTGTTCTAGGCCTTCAAGCCCTTAGTGTAATGAATCTAATGTTGCCCTTTTCTCCAACTTGTTAACAGGGTGAAACTGTTAAATAGAGTTCAGAATTTGTTTTGGAAGGTGACATGTTTTGCAGTACATGTGTTTATTACATGCAGCATTGTATATTTGGCCGTTATGCAAAAGGATTGAGGAAATTTTGTGGCAGCATTTGTAACATTCTTGCGTTGATCATGGATGGTGAAATGGTATTCCCAAGAAATGCGATTGTGCAAAGTTTAAATGTTGACCGTTTAAGAGTTAAGTTTTGACTATTTGAAGTATGCTACATCATGATAGCTTACAAAATATGATGATACACCAAAAAACGTGACCTATATTACAGTATTTATCATTGATTTCTGAAAAGTAAAACCTTTAGGGCCACCAGGAACCATATGATGTTAATAAATTCCATGTTAGCATGACAGTATTGTTTATAACCTACAGTGTAACCAATTTCACTTCTTGACATGTACTTCTGTCAGTAATCTCAGTACATCACTGAGACATCGCGGGCATCTCCAGGCACAGATGTACTTGGCGGAGGCCAAAATGGCTTCAGACCCACCCCTTGCACTGGCAGGCACTTGCACCTGCCTTATGCAACACAGATGCACAGCAGGGTACAAAGATATTATTCATCCCTGAATATCCTTCATTCTGCTAATGGACAATCCACTGTGACACAGAGTGATGGTGAGACTATATGTGTGTCATAG